ATACCTAAGGCCTAATCCTTCGCACGTCCAGCCAATTTAAATTGGCAAATGCAACCTGCATTTCGTCGTTGACGATAAGAAGAGCCATTAGGGCAACTTTCAACTCGACGAACCATCTCAACAGGGAAACTTACAAGATTACTCTGTACTTGGATATGTCTATCTTCAGGGTTTCGAGGCGACGCGTGTGTGCCGTCTTATCCACAGAAGAATCGTATTGCTGCTGTCTCAACAGCCATGACCGTTGAACACCTAGTTATCTCAAGTTCTTGACTTGTTGAGTTCCTTGATGGTGAAGCAAGGCTACTTTCTCTCGTTCGGAGATAAGTCCGTTTTTAAATAAACCTGGATATAGTGGTATGTTGTTGGTCTCTGTCCAGAGAACATAACATGGCGCGAATGGCGGTTTTGCCTACGGTAGAGCTCATACGTTCTACCGCACTCCTTTCTATGTCACCCAAATCGTTTAAGCTTTTAGACTTGGCGTGAGAGTTTCCCTCTTCATCGAACATGTTCATGAAAAATGAGGTGATTGCAGTCGTTGAACGGACTACAAACAAATTGCTACCAGGTGAAACGGGGTCCGCTCTTTCCATGTGACTGAGAAGACCTTGTTTTATAAAGCACAAGGCTGCGTAATCTCGACTTCACCTACGCGTGGCGTGGGGAAGCGCGAGGATGTAAACGGAAGTCGGACGCTCTGGTAAAGGGAAGATTAGAACTGTATTTTATAATTTAGTAAGTTTCTTAAAACAATCATCTATTTCTTGATTCAACGATACTAAACTGCAATCTCCTATTTGGGTTTCGTGCCTACCACCCATTGCGCGCGTCTAGCAGCGATTGGTGGTTAATTTGATTGATGTAGTGTCTACATAAACTGATAAGTGGAGCATTCAAGAATATTATCCTCGGTGGTGATATTCCGCCAACATCACCTCTTCTCGAGTAATTTTGATTGAATTGTATCGAAATGAATAATATTCATAAGTTGATACATTTTTATCAATTTTGATGTAACGGACTCACCCCGTCATACATGTGGAGAAACACCTGAAGCAACGTCGTCGCAATGGAAAAAATTAGTTCGTAGTGAAGCGACGTTATTCCGTAAATCTTAATCAATCATATTAATAAATAAGGTCCGCTGCTGCAAACTTGCTCCTACGTCGTTGACTTTTTTACGCTGCAAGATGGACTTACTCGCGATATAACACGCTTTTTACTCGCAATAAAGTGGTAGATGGGATGCTCGTCGTGCTATGACTGGGTTTTGTAGGTTGTATATCCAACTCAAAAATGCGCAAAGTATCGTCAGGTGGTGTGATAGGGAAAGATCGGTACACCGAACGTATTTGGAATTTATTTGTCAGTAAGCAGATTTACTGCAAAGCCTCTATTACAGAAAAATATCAGCAAATATACACTAGATCTGATAGCTGCCATGTTGTGCAATGACCAGACACTCTACAAATATCGGTTTTTATAACTAGTTTTTGGTGATTCCCAGCTACCTCGGATCTACGATGATCGGAGCGGTCCTCATTTAGGATTATGATGCACCACATGCTTGATTATCTAGACTTTGAAGGTACTATTCATCAACAATATGTGTGATGTCGGATAGCACTTGCGTAGAGATTGGCGTGCAGCCATTTTGCTAGGTGTAATGGTTGGCTTTGGTTACCCACCCAGCCAACGGTCGGCCTACGACTAGTAGAATTTTGGCATTGATACCAGGAACCTTATAGAGTTTTTGGTCGAACTTGTCGACATTCAATGGTCATATTTGGTGAGATAGCATTCTAATCAGTCGCTTCGGTTCGTTGTTGTGCTCCTCCGGCGCGTTCGTACATGAGAAGGTAAAATAATTTAAAGAATACTTAGCGCTTCCAGCGCATAGCTACACCACGTTTTAGAACTTTATCACTACTTATGTGTGTTCGCTAGTCTACCTAGAAGTGTTTGAAAATTGCACTTAGCTCCCAGCTTTATTATAGCTCTCATACTCAATTATTTACACTTTGACGGTATATCTAAGGTCTGTGACTTCTCACCAACAAGCTTGGTCTAGCTTATGATGAGAACAAAAGCGTGAAGTACTTCGTTCTTTTACTTTATAACCTCTGATAGAAATTGAGACGAGTGCTGATAGGAGGTATCGACACTCCAGTAGATGGTAGCACCGGTACACGTTAGTTGTACAGCTTTAATTAAAGGTACATGTACCCTTTGATAAACCATTTACATAATTGGTAATATAATGAGTACACAAAATTGGGATTGACGAATGATAGACACCTAGTACGAAAACTATTAGGTCTTGCTTGGGTAGGGGGATAGTCTGTTAATGTAAGTACTCATACGGAGTTTTATATACGTTATCAAATTCAAATAAACCCATCAGTTTGCTTACCAGGCCGTACGAGTTAAGGGAAGTACACCGGAAGATATATTGTCACCTTGTACTGATTCTCTGAATCGTTGCTCGATGAGGCCTTTGACTAATATAGCATACCCTTACTTTTTTTACTTTGTTGCCTCTTATAGTCCTTTTTATGCTTAAATCGACGTTAATATCCGTTGCTTCTTACACTAGTGGACTCTTTATTAGGTTCTTTGTCGAAGAACGAAGCGGCTCTTTTTAGTTCGCCGTTCTCTATCAAGAAAATAAACTAGCTTCGCTACATAATGACTCTGCTACATAATGTCGACATAAACCAACTATCGAATGTATATATTGTGTGGTGTTAACAAGAAATATTATCATTAGCGGTAGCCTTAAGCAAAGTTGCTCACACCTGCTCATTAAACAATTAGTTAACGTTTTTAGCCAATAAAACCTCAAGTTTTGCGGAACTTGGGCGATGAGTTGTGATGAAGAAGCAACATTACTGCATGTGGTATCAGAATGCTTTAGTGATGTTTCTGATAATATAAATAATAATAAATTGGCTGTTCAGAGAAATACAAGATAGTTCTGTTTAGAGAAATATAAAATAGTTCTCTTAAAGCGTTTTTGCAGCTAGTTTTGCCCGTTGCTGCACATTTACGTCAGCAACTTATAATTCAAATATTAGCTTTGTCGATCGTGGTAATATTAAGTGACATCTGTTGCAAAAGCGCTAAAGTAGTTGAAGGCAAACTGCAGCGTGAATTTACAGTAGGTCATCATTTTGCGAACTCTCTTGATATTTTATCAAACTCCTTTCTTCTCCCACACTTTTCATTATCGCTATATCGCGCAAAACTAATCGCCACGTCACGCTTTAGTTGTCTCTAACCGCTCATTACTTACGTCTAAGTGTATGTGTCGGATACCGGTTGCATGCCAAGGCGCTTTTTCGACAACATTAATTCCTGGTCGGTTAGTATTTGCCATTATATGAACATACATCGCGCTTAACGAATTCTTTACGTTTGTAATGAGTAAAGGAGCACATACATCCCGTTCAGGTTCGTGATTACGTATCGATGTGGACGAATTAAACATAGATCTGTACTCAACGTATTACATCATGCCAATATGCCAGGCTTTTTAACATGATAAATAGGGTAAGTGCAATTCTCTTTTTTACGTTTAACTAGCGTATTTGTTGTGTAGCTTCCTCTGCACTTTTATAAGTGAGGTTTCGTACCCACTGTCGATGCTGTAATTGTGCAGTTTTTCTTACAGCGCGGCGCCGTAATTTATTCATTTGAGACGATTGCAATAGTAATTAGTTCTTACTACCGACGAAGTGAGATAGTCAGCAACATTCACATGGCGTACTGTATATAACATGACATGGCGGCTTTCAATCAAGTATCCACCGATTCCCATGATATGATCGAGCCATTTTCAGAGGCGTATGTTTCGCACAACATCCCACCATGAGACATGAAAGCACAAAGGAAATACCGCGTTGCGGATCCATCCGCGCATTCATATTCCGGCAATCTTCCCATCGCTAATAACGTGAATCGCAAGTACTCCTCCACTTACTGATTTTTATATCGCCATCGCAGGGGTCGCTAGTTCTGCGACCTCGATCAACGGTCAATTGGGATTCTAAGCGCCGAATTGAAAACGCCCAATCAGAGCCGATCCATAATTGATCACGACTTACTAATTCTCATAATTGGTATGCATCCTTTCCACCGTTTTGTCTAAATTGGTGAGCATTTGGGTAATATGCCAATTTTGAAAAATCAATTTCGGCTAGCCTTAAAATCTTGTCACCGCTGTAGCAATCGTCAATGTCGTCAACCCACTGTAGTAGATGAATGGCTTGCCGATTTCGATACACTAAATACTTGAATGTCATCAACAGTGCATGTTTGTACTTCCCCGATATTGTTTACCGTCGTATCACAGTCCATGTTTGAACTTCCCCGATATTGCTTTCACGTCGTATTTCTTTGTAGGGACTCTAAATATCTTATGGTATGCCAGATGCTCTAGTAACTGGCGCGTATGCTTTTATACGCCAAACGTCACTGAAAAGTGTTATCATCAACACCATGAGCTGAAGCCGTAGTGAATGTTTGTCGTTACAGAGTAGCAAGATGTATCATTGGTAATGGTTGAGCTCGCGTACACAGCTGAATGAACGGCACATCCTGCAACATGGAGTACCTTTTGCCCCGCCTATGGTCGAATGAGAATGCCAGGGCCACAACACGATGGATGTCGCGTCAGTATAGCGGGTACTCTTGTTTTTCTTGACATGCAGAAAAAGAATGTCTACAAATTTGTGGTCACACCCACACAAAACTGTATCCTCATCGACACCGTCCCGATCAAAATCAGAGAATGACTAGAAATATGGCATCGACAATGTCCGCAAATCTAAGAGCAGACCAGTCGTTTTTAAGAAAGCACTTAGCCTCAATCACCCGAATGCCTAAACGAACATCTTTGATCCCAAATCTAGACTTGCTCCTCTCATTCAGCGCATCCGCTTGTTCTGATCCCGCAACCGATCGCAAAAGCTGACTAGTCAGCGAACATACTCTCCATGGAAGACATAGCTGGCAATGACAAGATCAATGACAAGGACAGTGGCCACGCGACCGCATCACAGGCTCACGGATCCCAATCGGACCGCTCACCATCGTCTTTGCCACCTCCACCAGTCAATGTCAGTGTGCCAAGTTTGTTCGACTCGCGGACGCTCCCGGCGGTCGTATCTGCTAGTGATGACAGTGAGATGGCGCCCCGCTATTTGCCGCAAAAAGACGGATCCACACCGTCTTGTGGCTCGTTCAATGAGGCGTTTGCCCAATTGAGGAACACGTCCTCATACATTGAGCGTCCACGTGAGACAGCGCAAGACGAGAAACTTCCGGCGAAAGACGCAGCAGCCACAGTGTACGTGAGTCGACGGCAACAGGGCAACCCGATGCTTAAGGCCGTGCGCAACGTCGGACTCGAGTTCCGAGACGGACTGATCCCGGATTACGTCATGGGCGAAAACTCGCTCTGCCTATTGTTTCTCAGTGTGAGGTACCACCTGCTGCACAACAGCTACTTGGAAGAGCGCGTGCAAAGCGTGCGAAAAGACGACCCGACGCACTACAAAACGAAGCTCGTCTTGTGTTTTGTGGACGTGGACGACAACGAGGTGGCGTTGCGTGAGATCAATCGCGTGGCGCTCTTGAGCGATTTCACGTTGGTCTTGGCGTGGAGTTGGCTCGAAGCTGCGCGGTATCTGGAGACATTCAAGGCCTACGAGAACAAGTCGGCGACTCTGATCAAGGAAAAAGTCGAGGCGGAGTTCTTGCCCAAAGCCAATGACGTGCTGACATCCATCCGATCAGTAAACAAGACGGACGTGGTGACTCTGCTGTCCACGTTCGGAACAATCAAAGGACTCATGAACGCGTCAATGGAGGAGCTTTCGCTCTGTCCCGGTGTGGGCGCCAAGAAGGTGCGGCGACTGCTTGAAACCTTTCAAGAGCCTTTTAAAAAGCAGTGAAAGGGACGACACGACGATTGCCGCGCCGTAGAGCAGCTCTGTCAACATTGCGAATTCAACAATTGCTGCTTCACATCTTCGAGGGGATCAGGTGGCAGACGACAGCTCACAGATGCCAAGTCACGTGCCACTGTCGTTATTGTGTTAAATTGAAAGCCGTGTGGGAGCGCGTAAACAGACTCTTCCTGATGTCTCCGAGCCGCAGCACCTGGAGTAATTTACTGCTGTTACAAAAGGACCTCCTCACCCTTTTTGCGTTACTGCTCAACGCTCTACGTGAGAAAGCCGGTTGCACGTTCCGTAAGTCGTTGTGGCATTCACTACATGCACAGCCAGGCAGCAATCACAACCATCCAGCCAAACAAGTGAGCAAGGCGTCGATTTCTTTCAAGCAGCATGGAGTTTGAAGGGTGTGCTACTACTCAAGGCTCTTACTCGCTAAAGGGCCGCCGCCGTTGCGTCCAGGCTGGTTGGTGCTCATCTCAGCCGTAAACCCGACGGCCTCGACGGCCTCCATCAGGTCGCTCACTTGCGCCGATCCAGAGACGTAAGCCGCGCGCTCGACAAACACCACCACTGCATTCGTCACACCGGGCGTGTTCTTCAGTGCAGTCTCTACCGTTGTGCCGCAGTTCTTCATGCACGACATGCCGCCCACTTGGATCCGCACCGTCGAAGGGTCCGTGAACCGCCATGCACCACGTTCTTCCGTGACGTCCTGGTCCAGATTCTTGTAGAGCACAAAACCGGTGCCAAAGCCGGCGATCAGGGCGAGGAACAGACCCGTCTCGTACGTCATGACCACGAGCATCGCAAAGTACGCGACCGTCATCTGAATCATGTACAACACCGCGAGAAGGAGCTTGCACTGCATCTTGTGGAGCTTGTCACTAGGACGGAGCTTCCGTGCCGCGAGCAGCCGTTGCCGCACCATCTCCCGTCCCTTCACCAGCGTCTCGTTGAGCAGTGCAATCAGAAAGCAGGCGATGAAGCCGATCGCGTACTTCCCGCCGCTGTTGAGCACCCACGGCTGGAAGAGCAGCATCACGCACGACCCGTTCATAGACAGCTGGAAGCCGTTGAACATGACCGACCCCTGGCCCGAGCAAAAGTCCGAACCAGTCGACGACTCGTCCGTTTCAGTGGTAGCGGTGCTACGGGACGGCGACGTCGACGGGGCCGCAGCCGTACCGCGTGCACTCGACGACGACAAGTCCGGCACGAACCTCTGCGCTGCTGGACTCAGCGTCGTGACTGCGGTCGCGTCCGAGCACGGCGCTCCCTCGCAAATGACCGTATCGACTCGATAGCGGGGCTCTGTCTTGACGCTGGTAAGGTACGCGTTCTTGTTGGCTTGCGACGCAAAATAGATCTTCTGCCCGTTCTTCAGGCACACGTAGACGTACGTGTCCGTCTTGACAGCAGCGCCCGACATGGGGTCGTTGACGCCGTCTGCGCACTCGTCGCAGGTGCTACTGCACTTGGCGTAGGCGCTCCCGTCCGTCGGATTGACAATGAACTCGGCCATGTTGGCGGCCAAATAGGCCGTGTCGGTCAACTTGGGGCCGTAGCTGGGGAACGGGCGCGCGGCCATTCCACACGAGTAGATCTTCTGCCCGTGCGTGAGCGTCACGTAGTTGGCATTGGCGTAGCCGCTGTCGAGCGTCGACATGCCGCACACGGGGCACGTGTGGTCCGTGGAGCTCACAGCGGCCGTAGCGGTCAGTCCGCGGTGCAGCTGCGTCGCGTGCATGTCATGAAGCCCGAGTGACTCTTGGTAGTGGTAGGGGTGCACGTGTGCAGCGGTGGACGCCGTCAACAGGAGCATAGAGGCTGCAGTAGCATATCGACAGCGAGAGATGCGCATCTCGTTGTAACGAGGCGAAAGCGAAAGCGAATGTGCGAAGGCCATAGGCCACAGACGCGAACAATCTCGTTGGCGCGAAGACGAGACAGGGATTTGACAGCTATTAACTTCTGGAGGTAGCAGGCTTTCTCGTGGGAATCGGATGATTGCGACAGCTGCTTACATAGAAGCGCGATACTGACTGCTTTTCGCATAGCTTCTGTCCGATTGTGCCGCAGGTGCATACGCGCCACGCACATGCGTGGGCCGTGTGTCGACACGCTGCGGAGTGAGAGCGTCTTTCAGCGATAACAAACGCAGACATTTGCTGCTCTAGCAAGTTTGTGCATGAGCGAACGAAGCGTGCATTGCGGTTGGCGATTGAAGCTGCATGATGAGATACTAGTTCGCGTCGGGATTTGATGCCATTTGGCTGATCCATCGAGCTTCAAGAATGGACCGCCATCGTGTACCTTGCGTGTGCAAGGGAAGAAATGATTCATGTGATTAGGAAGCAAGCATTGATTGAGGCGAGCGTCGGGAAACTCGAGACCTGCCGCAATGTACACGAACCTGCGGGTCCAATGTCCGTTCAATAATTGCAAGTGAGAGGAATAACTTCAGCGTAGCCACCTCTCAACCCTAATAGCTTGCAGACCATCTTTTCTGTTGCTGCTTTTCGTCAGATCGCGGGACAGGTGGCTTCTGGGCGGCCTTTTCGAGCGTTAAGAGCACAATTTGAGCTCCCGTCAATTTCAGACCTCATAATCCTACTTTCGAGCATGGCGGCCCGAGCCCTGTCGCTCTCGTTGCTGCTTTTGCTGCCATTGCTGTCGCTGCTGCTACTGCAGCCCACTGACGCTGGTCAGAACCTGCAAAAGACCACGTGCCCGTTGTGCAACATGGACGTCAAGCCCAACATCAACGCCACTGTGCTGGGCAACCAGTACGTCTACGCGTGTGAGATGGCTGGCCACATTGAGTCCCTGCAGCACAAACCGGTGCGGCAATCTGTTGTGACCTGTCAGACCACTTATCGACAGGAGACCGCGCGTCGACTAACTGCTCTCTCTATCTGTCTCTGTATTGAACTCTCTCTATCGATCCATCGCTCCCTTTCTTGATGCAGGGTGCTAACCTTGGCCGTCCAGTAGAGGCCGATATCTCGACCGACGAGATCTACAAGGACGCAAAGGCGATCAGGTGTCCCGTCTGTAGCAAGAGCTTTGACCACCTCACGCACGCTGTGCCGTGGATCTCCAAGGGCGGACAGAAGATCTACACGTGCTCGAAGGCGCACGCACAACTCGTGTTTGACAACCCGACCAAGTACGTGGCAGCCCAAGCGTCTTCCGACGACTTTTGCTACGCCGGTGCAGCGGCCGACCCCACGGGTTCCGTCATGTACAATGGTTTCCAGACCGCTATTGGCGGCAATACCGCGTGCCTGTTGCTGCTCTTTCAGCCGTGGGTGATCTCGTCAGAAGTCAAGTACGTGTTCGCCTTCCTCGGCGTCGTCTTGCTCGCTGTCTTGCTCGAAGGCTTTGGCGAGCTGCGCGAGTTTGTGGAAAAGCGGTTGTTCCAGGTCTACAGTGTCGTGTCCAGGCAGACAGACTACATGTTGGTGTCTGGTGTGACCACACCGCAAATGAGACGCAGCAAAGACGATCCTCTCGCCACCGCCGACTCTTTCGCGCTCAAGATTTGTGACACGGCCAACGCCCATCACACCAGCATCATCCGCCGCCTGCCGTTTTGGTGCAAACTGGCGTTAGCAGTCATGTACATGGTACACCTGAGTTTGGGCTACTTGGTCATGTTGGTCATTATGACGTTCGAGACGCTCATGTTTGTGGCGGTGGTTCTTGGCGTCGGCCTGGGCTTCGTCATCTTCAAGGACACGGACGCTGACAAGCTTGGCGGCAGTATCGACCCATGTTGTTCCACGTAAAAGCGGTCTTCGCATAGAATTTATCCGTTTCGACGTGATGTGTTTCTGGTATCAAGCGCTGGTCGAACATGTACCGCATGTTACTGTTTTGACCGACTCGATGCAGCGTTGTAGCCTCGTGATTCTGTTGCTGTCACAGCCGCGGAGACCGACTGCTCGACTGCTTTCGACCAACATGATTATGGTGCATCTATTGCTCTGGCGACATATGATGATGTGCACTCGCGCTTTTGCTGAGACGGCTGAAACGTGTTGTTGTTGTGCCTTTGTATGAAGCTCATTGGGTGTCCCCAGGCACTTCACAACCGCACATAATCGATAGTGCTTCATTTGCGCTACACCCGTTTAGGTCTTTCTGTTGTCTGCATCGACATGTGCCCAAACTGGCGCGACGGTAGAGGGTAAAGTTTGTGATCAGCACAGAAGTGTAGCTATCTTACAAATGAATTGCAACTACGACGTGCCATTCGCAAAGTTGAAAGTCCATAAACCTGAAGCGTTAGGCCGAGTATTGCAATAGAAGAGGCTCGTATGGTCATCGATTGCCTCATCGAAGAAGGCCTTGGGAACCGGCTGGTGACAAGAAAAAGGAGCATCTAACACTCTAGAAGTTTGTTTTGCCAACGCCCCGTCATGATATTTAGTCTCACGAGGTGGGAATGCATTTCTTGAATCTATACTTTAACCGTTCTGTCATCCAAAATATGAGCGGTATGTCTATATTCCAAATTTAGAATTATCTCTATCGTAAAATACCGTGCTCAGAGCAGCATGACAAATTCGCGATCATAACATCAGAAATATGCCCGTGCAGCTTCGCGTCGTTTAATAAACACGACCTATAAGTTAGCAAAAGTAGCTCCAACTCTGGACACACGTTTTTGTCAGAAAGCAAGTGCATCAGACCTAGCATATGAGCATCATGTCGATTAAGCGCCGAAAATGATGTTCGCGCATCGATCTTTGACACCGCGCCGTTTATTGCAAAATTCTGTCAGCCAGTTGCAAACGTTCACGCGTGTATTTACGGGCCACTCAGGGAGATGAAAAAGAAGGGGGAAATATAACATGCCCCGACGATCAATATATTTTAAAAGTGTACCACACGCTGAGAAAATGAAATCCACCGCATAATACAAAGAGCATCTTTTCCATACGCCAAACGACCGGATGCATTCATGCGAGGAATCACATGGACTCGTCTAGTGTTTGGAAGGTATTGTCGCTAACAAATTTCATTCAAGAACATTACCGGCGCTTTTGATCGTGTCCGGTCCGTCTTTCGCACCCGCTGGTCACTCGGTTCTACGCGGCAAAAGGTGTTGACACGTCAATACCTTTTACAATGTACATAACCTCTGCCACACTTTCTAAATTGCTTTGTGTCGAAGCAAGTAGATCAACTCTGTTGTAATTGTAGAACCATATAGAATCAGTACATCGTGCTTCATCTTCGATGTGGAAAAAGACCGGGATACACATGCTAGCCCGCATAATTTCCTCTGCAGCAGAAAGCAACATTGCACGTTAATTCACGGCTGAGAATTGGTGCATTGAGGTAAGCGCTAACATTACGACCACCAGCATCAGCTTCATTTTTGTGACGACCAGAAAATCTCATTAACATGGAGGTGCATATCCGCGTGCCTTCCGCATTACGAGTCAGCAAGCATGCGCAATCACGCGCAATATCACCAAAATAATCCGTAATCTCTTCAGTTCGGTGTCTGCCCTTACGCCCTGCACCTTTTCGTCGTCTTATGCTGCCTTAAGTCGTTCCATAAAACATTTTCGCTAAATGTAAAAGGACCACGATATACTGGGCTGTCTCTTCCATCTATCCTTGACGACACAATTAAGGCCACTGCCATACCATTTTGACAATATGTAGCCATTTGATCTGGCTAAAAGAGATAAAAGCAACGTTGCCTTATGAACGAGTGATTGGAAACCCTGTCAGGTTACACATGAATCGTCCAAGCACCTCCCCCTTCATGTAAGATGGCAATCAATTGATGCAGATAACTTACCTTGTGTAGTATGTAAGAGAGGGACCGACATAAGAAGGTGTCTAGCATGCGGCGTAAATCATGCATGTGTATATATGGTCGTGTCTATACACCAAATGTGCATTTATTTCATTTTCTAAATATTCGCTGTTTTTATATCATCCTCTTGTCTTGTGGCGCATTTTTATTTTTGTGATATATAAGTACCTTTTCTTATTCCTAAAGGTAAATTGGGTAGTGCATAAACGGACATCAAGAACTCAATTGCATTTAGTGGACGACTAGGCTTCTCGCCACTCATTTGAAATTTCGACGCGTCACGAATTCCAAAAACATGTATTTCTCGCTTACACACATAAATGAGCGCAGTTCTCTTCTTTTACTATCAGCACGATTCTCAATGCTAGTATTTACGCTAGCATTAAACGTCTATGTAAAAAAATAACTGTATTTTAGATGGCGTCGATATATCAAGGTAGGCCTAGGAGGTTCTACGAAGTGGTGTATATTAAATAATAAGCTTAGAGTCAGTGTGGTCTGCTTTCTGTGCATCGGTATCTTAATCTGGATCCGAGCCTTGCTCTTGCACGAAATGTTACAAGATTTTCTTACCTGTCGCCTATTCGTGGCCTGCAAAACCAAAGTGATAGAGCAAGATTATGAAATTGTAAAAACCAATTTCTTGATGACCCGGGACCTGGTAGTCATTCAGCCAGGATAATGCCGAAGTAGGTAAATTGTCCACAAATATAGGCTCTTTTATAATCTTCAGTGGCCGAGTTGTGAATAGAAAACAGTCTAACTCACACTCATCACGCTTGGTAGTGCAGAACGTATCAGCTGACCTACATTGACAACATTGTTGACAGCAGTGTTGCAAGTGCTCTAATAGTTTACTAGCATCAAAATGGAAGACAACACTTACTAGCCTACGAGAGCACGTTAGTCAAGCGGTCAAATCGAACTAGTACGACACGTTCAGAGTGTAATTGACTTTACTTGTCTTTATATATATGCAAACTTCTCCTGTCTGTGCCCGACCCATCACGCGTGTCTGTGTCATCATTTTCAACCCTTTGTTGAGTATAACATTGACCAATTTCAGATATTGTTCGAGCGTCATCGATATGTACATATAATACAATATCATATGATATCATTGCTGCAATTATTATCACTTAGAGTTTTGTTACTGTCGATGCCATATAACGGATCAACCCGTCGCATCTCACATCCTGGCATCAGCCAGCATGTCTCGTATGAAGGCTATCGAGGTGCCATCACGACCATCTCTGTTGTGTGGACAAGAAAGATCGAAACCCAAGGTCCTCCTCCGACCATGTAATAAATTTAGCGGGGCTTAATAGAAGTAAGGACGGGACAGGTAGAGAGGTTCAGACTAATGAATGAACGAAGTCATGATTTTGTGGCAAAGTGATCCCGATATTTTACCGTTGAGTTGGGCTTGGGGCTCACAGATCTTCAGCGTCAGTTAATTTGAAAGTACTCGGACTGGAGTATACGAGCTGGGACGGTTTGCCTCACGATCAATTACTCAAGCGTACTAGATCGCGAGATCACTGGTGGCAAGGATGTGATATGTGGTTCCTATGGGTGGATTTCGTATTTAAAGATTAATCTAACCAGATATCGCGGGATCAACCAGGGATCACGATCCCAACCAGATATCGCGAGATTAACAAGAGATCGTGGGATCAACCAGAGAATACGAGATTACCCATAGGTCATGAGATTGCTAAGAGATCACGAGATCACCCAGAGATCACAGAATCGTGTGGTGGAGTTATGACCACAAACTCTTTGTGATCCCGACTCTCTACTGGCGTCCGGTCGACCGACTAACGGACGGGGTACCCCAATTCCGTGCTCTGTGTTTTCTTGCTCACTCTTTATACCCGTCGGTGGGGCGGGTTGCACTCTTCTCGGTGGACTCGAGTTGAAGCTGAACATGACCATTTTTGGGATAGGGGTTGATCGGGTGGAAATTCTTCGCCCGGTCAAACGTGGGGTGGATAGAGTGGAAATTCTTCACTCGATCGCAAGTACACTTGGTCGCTCTCCCAGAGTCGCCCGTTTCCAAAGGTGATGCTTGATCCGCGAGCCTTCTGAACACTTGAGCAGTCTCGCGATCTTGAATCCAAACCGCAAGGTTCCCTGCGTCTGATCGCAGTTGGGGGGGGTAGAACTGATGTTCCGCCTGATCAAACAATTTAAAGGCGAAGTTTGTACAGACGCGGGTCAATCTCTATTCGACAGGAGGCCAAATTTACTGCCCGAGAGAAGTCGACGCGTGTCTTTCGTTGAAAATTCAATTCTGTTTAATGTCAACCAAAGAAATACAAAACCTCTGACTAGGCTTATCTGTTCACTAGAATTCTGTTGCGTATCGCCTGCCGATGTAATTCACCTCGTGCATCATGTGGTCCACAGCAGATACTCGGATGGTGGATCGCTCCGTAGCGGATCGCAAGGTAGTGTTTGCTTGGGTAGTGGATCGCTCCGTGGTGGACCGCTCGGGGGCGGATCGCTTAGGTAGTGGATCGCGGTATGTGGTCCACGCCAATTCTGTGTCTACACAATTATGTGCCCATACAATCAAGCATCACATACCCAGGGTGGATCGGGATCAATCTTTCGAGTCTTTGATCGGGCATCGACCGTCGAATCGCCGTCAGTTTCGAGACCTCGCATGTTTGATGATCTTGACGATCCACACCTCCATCTTGCGTCCACATTCACCAATCTTCCATTATCGTCAGCGCTTCAGTACTCCAGTTGATGTTCACCCCTTGAGAGATCTGGTCCTTGTAACTTGGTGATCCAAGCCCTTGATGGCGGATCGTGATCGGTCAGTCGTCGATCATTGACTATGCTCCTTCTTGACCGTTAGGTAGGTCAATTCGCATACTTCCGCAGTCATTTCTGTCACTCAGTCTTTAGATCCAATCATTCGTGCCAACGGGCCTATCT